TATTGTTACATACAACATTATTAAAGCATAGTGATTCATCACAAAAATAGTATGTCATGATATATCGCTCTCTTCTTTGGAAGTTTGCACCCCAAGAACCTCACCCATGGCCACTGCGTGCATTCAGACTCCCGGGGACTCTGTGATGTTGTGTTTCTACGACTCCACTCTGCACGGGAGCAGACAGCCTCCTCTTCCTCCTGAGCAGCACCCAATGAGCTGGAACCACTGACTCTTTGCTCAGCAGCCCAGCGCCTCACCGACAGCCCCACCGGGGCTGCTTTGGAAGTGTGGGAGACCCTCTCTTGGTCACCAGTGCCCTCTGCACGTCTGCCTCTCCGCTTCGTCTGCCTCTCGTTTGAGTTGATGATTTTCATGCCAGAGACTTTCTTTCGCTGTCTCACCATCTCCTTACATCTAAGGGTCGGAGAAGAAAGGTCCACTCGAAGCTCCTAGTCCATGGAGTGGAGGGGCTTCTTGGTTTTCTGGAAACCTCTCTGAAGACTGCCCTGCTGGGCTGTTTCAAGGACCGGCCACATTCCAGCCTTCGGGCTGGAGAACCAGGGCAGCCTGCTGGGAGAGGTGGGGTCTCTGTGTGGATGCTCCCAGAGTGCAGGAAATCCTGTTTCCAGTGCACCGTGCCTGCCCACCCTGCGACCCTGGGCCTTCTGTCTGATGGGCTCTCTGTTACAGATGGGCTCCCAGGCTTGGGCCTGATGGGGAGGGGCGGCCACACAGCGGCAGGTTGGGGAGGGGACAGGGCTCCAGCTGCTCCTACCATCTAATCCTCTTCCCGCATCCTCCCTCCATCCCAACCTCATTTCCAGGGACACCTGCCACCACTCACCCTGGAGCCTCTGGGACTTGTGGGCTGTAAGTGGGGCGCCTCTTGTCTTTCCCCAGAGCTTACCTGCCCCCCCCTCACAAGCCAGGATATAGACCACTTGAGCCAACCCACCCAATCGCTCTTCCACCTGCTCCCTGCCCATCCCCAGAGGTTTGCTGCTTCTTCTCTTCTGTGCCTCCGTGAGGATTAATGACACACACACACACACACACACACACACACACACACACACACACCCAAACCCAAAGCCCTTCACTCCAGGCTGAAGTGGGGCTGGGATGAGAATCCTGGACCCTCAGCCAGCCATTGCCCCTGGGATGGGGGCCAGACCGGGGCTCTGAGGTCAGCCTCGCCCGGAAGGTTGCAGGCCCACTGTTGGCCGCTCTGTCCATCTGGATGGTTCCAGGGGGCGTTCTCAGCTCTCCTGTGCCATGCTGGTTCCCGGGAGGCCCTGGGATTGGGCAGAGGGGTGTTAGTCTCACGGGAGCCCCTGGGTGGGGCTGCTGCACAGGCGGGTGGAAGTTCCCATGCGCCTCTCCCCCCTCCCCCACCCTGCTCTCCTCAACTCCCTGGTTAGGGGGCTAAAGCCCCTTTGCTCTGGGCTTGGCCAGTGGAGCCCTCGTTATAGGCCCACTGTTGCTTTAAAAGCCCAGCCTGTCCTGCAGCTGGGCACCCCAGGAGACAAACCCCAAGCTGCTTAAAGAGCCAGGTGTTTGATTTCTGTGCTTCTGGGGTGGGACCCTGGCAGCTTTTAAAAAGACTTCCCAAGCCCCAAGCCAGGGCTGCCCTGGGGAGCTTGTCCCAGGCTTTTCTTCATGGTCAGATGATTGGGGCCGCTGCCCTGCCGGACCTTCCAGCAGACAGCGCCAGGGAGACTTTACCAAACCTTCTAGCCGGGTCCATGGGTCAGGTTACGGGGGTGGTGGGGGG